TTATCCTATTCTCCTTAGGGTCCCTACTGTAGCTCTATATATATAGCATTAGGCTCGTGGAAGGAAAAAGAACAATCCCATAACTTGGGAATTGCGTCCAGCTCTTTTTCTCTCTCTTCCAAGGAGTTCTTCTATTTCTTGTGTTCCACTGATACAAGATCTAGAAAGCTGTTTGAGAATAAAGTAGAAGATCTTAAGGTATATAGAGATTCCAATCACACATCCAAACCGGAGACCAAAACCAGCAAGTGACCATACCACGACGACCAGGACGACGAGATGAAGAGATCAACGTCGAGATCGCCGCCGTACGCCACCGCACGCACCCATACGCGCCGCCGGAAGGTCCCAGTTGCTGAAGTTCAATCGCGAGCATGAGAGCGCGTGGAAGGTCCGTTTTCCGACCGGTCAACGCCGTTGACTTCGCTGTGACGTCAGCTTTCTGGATTGGTCAAGTTTGTTCGATTCCGAGAAGATTTGATTTGCGGTCAACTGTTCGGGCCAGCCAGATCTACATAAATTTTAAGCAGTAAGTTTTCTTCATCAAACCTTTAGATCCGCTGCGCATAGGTTTATGTTGAATGTTTGTCTGTGATTTGTGCATATCGAGATCCTCATGGGTTCCAACATGAAGGACAGAGCCATACTCGCTCCCACACTTGATGTGGTTGAGTCAATTAACGAGTACATGAGCTCACTGAACACATCTGAGGGAAGAACTTACTTGAGTTCGGACACCCCGTGCAAGTCAGATGTTGGATATGATTCTCTTCAGGATCTTCACACACCTGAGTTTCTCAATGTGATCAAGTGCTCTGGCCTTCCGAATCATAAACTGCACCTTAAGGTCCGCACTCCAGTGATGCTTCTCAGAAATATTGATCACTCCATGGGGTTGCGGAACGGTACTGTTCATCAAAATTCAATTTGTCATATACATTTCCTTTTATCTTTGTACAAATTTGAGTGATATTCTTTTTGTTTTCCGAGTTTTTATGTCAACAGGTACATGATTGGTTATCACTAAGCTCAGCAGCCATGTCCTCGAATGCAGGATTTTAACCGGTGCCAGAGCTGGTGACAAGGTTCTTATTCCTAGGCTCAGAATCTTACCATCCGATTTGAGGGTACCGTTCAAATTTCAACGCAGACAATTTCCGCTCATGGTTTCGTATGCTATGACTATCAACAAGAGTCAATGCCAGTCACTGTCCCACGTCGGATTACTATTGAAGAACCCTGTATTTAGTCACGGACAGTTGTATGTGGCACTATCTAGAGTCACGAATCGGAGGGGTCTGAAAATAATGATTTGTGGTGATGGAGATTTTGATGATAGAAAAACCACGATCGTTGTATATAAAGAAGTGTTTAATAATATTTAGATTTAGATTTCTTGCTTAAATTTTACCTCAACGATCCTGTTATGATTTTTACAATTGTTTTTTATTTTTTCCTTTATCGTATAGTTTACCGTGCAAATGCACGGGTCAAAAACTAGTTAGAATAATACAAACCCGACAAAACTTTTATGCAGTTACAAAATAGTTTATAAAAATACGTGAACTTTAAAAAAAAAAGAAAAACAAAACCAAAAAAAAAGGTAAAGTGAGATAACTGTTAGCTTTTCAACAATGTTATCAAAACCAGACCAGACCGGCCGGTTCGACCTGTTGGACCGAGAACCGGACCTAGTACCGGACCTAGTACCGGTCCGCTTTGCATGTTTGGGCCGCTGGGAGCAAGAACCAGTATAGAACCGGTTCAAAACCGGTCAAACCGGTGAACCGGTACCGGTTCGACCAGTCGAACCGGTTCTGAAATGTAAAAAAAAAATCTTGATGAAATAAAAAAAATAAAGAAAAAGAAGAGAGTGTAACACAAAATTTCGTATTATTGAATTAATGAACACGAGAAATTCGTACAAATGGATTTTAAACGGATCAAAAGAAATATAGTGGATTACAAATCTCTATTATTCCTCTGATTAATTTCTTCAAGAGCGATCTTGAAATAGACTTGAGGCTTTTAGAGACGAATCTTCAGTTTAATCCCCGCATGTCTTGAATATGGATTTAAATAACGTTTCTTCGAGGGCTTGACAACTTGATCTCGAATCGAACGCCGTGATTTCCCAAGAACGTGAAGAACACGAGTCCTTGGTCTTTGCCTCGAAGTTGATTTTGATCTTCTTTACGTCGGTCTTCACTTTAATAACGTAACTCGGAGGCTTGGCAGCTTGTTTCCGGATTAAACGTCGGTTTTGGGCTTGAATGCGCTTGAATCTTCCTTTGGGTCTTCAAGAACGCCTTTGAATCTTCAAAACACTTTGAATTTAATAACGCAATTCGGAGGCTTGGCAGCTTGTTTCCGGATTGAACGTCGGTTTTGGACTTGAACGTGTTTGAATCTTCCTTCGAATCTTCAAGAACGCCTTTGGATCTTCAAGAACACTTGAACGTTAATAACGCAATTCGGAGGCTTGGCAGCTTGTTTCTGGATTGAACGTCGTTTTTGGGCTTGAACGTGCTTGAATCTTCCTTCGAATCTTCAAGAACGCCTTTGGATCTTCAAGAACACTTGAATCTTGTGGAGAGAATTTTGTAGAGCTCTTGGAACTTGAATTATGAATATGAATTGTGATTTTTCACCTTAAGGAGAGCCCCTATTTATAGGTGTTGAGAGATAGAGTCTTGGAAAAGAAGACTTCAATTTGATTGGTCCATGAATTTCCAACATTTATCTCTTAATAATTATTTAAAGAGATAACTAGGAGAGAGATTCTTGGAAAAGAAGACTTCAATTTGGTTGGTCCATGAATTTCCATTTATTTATCTCTTTAATAATTATTAAAAGAAATAAATATTTATCTTACTCTCCAAGAAAATGACATGTGGCATTCTTTAATTAGCCTTCAAAATATACACGTGGCATTCTTTAATTGGCCAACAATAAATATTAAATAATCAATTAATTAACTATTTAATTTAGGAATTAAAATTTGATTAATTTCCCAAATAAAATAGATAATTATTAAATTAACTATGACATGGAATTTGACACTTGTCGCCATTTTATTGGCTTAAAATTTGATTGTCTACAAATGTCCCCTCGAGACTTGTTCACAGACGACGTGTCTTGAAGTGAATAAGTCTCGAATTTCATTGGCTTGGAAATTGGGCACAAGATATGGACTTGCAAAATTTTAATAATGCTCAACATTCCATACATGTACTCCATTAAACGATCCACCATCATAATTAATACTTGGCCCACGTGAAATAAGAATGCTTTAAGCCCTCATTCAAACTCCATCAACCCACTTTCACTTGATTTGGCCCAACTTCAACCATTATGATGATAAATTTGCCAAAATGACTTTTTTTTTTCAAAATGGCGTGAAATAATCAAAGGCCCACTACTAAGTTGTTCAATAACAATAATATGAGGGCCATATACCCAATTCTCATTAGCCCATTTCATCATGAGATCAACTCCCATTAATCTCTTTTTATTTAACTACCGGGTCCACTTTTGCTAATTTTCTATCAAGCAAATAAAAGGACAGGGATCAGCCTTTTAAGAGCCCAATTCTTTTTGAGTTAAAACATATATCCTTTTAGCAGCAACCCATGCCATTCAAAACAAAGAAAGCCTCGTATATGAATATATGCATAAGAGTCCTGCTATCAATTTCTGCGTACAACAGAGCTTTTAGAATTTAAGAATCCTATCTAGACTCTTAATTCGTTTCCTACTCCAACTCAACATCTTCGAGACGTAGGAATATTTTCACACCTATAAAAGGGCATGTTCTCTTCTTATTTTTTCACACCCGACCCAACAGGTACCAGCTTAAGCCTCTTTTTTTGTCCGTAGAAAATTGATTCTCGGCTGCTAATTATTGTGTGTTGCTGCTGCTTTGGTCGAATTTTGGCAGGTCACATTACAGAGTTTATGCACATTCATATCCCGAATTTCTGATCACAAAGTGTTCTATCAATTGCCGAAGAGGTATGATCATGCTCCTTTTTCCATTTTATGTGCTTCCTTTTTTTTCTGTTACGTTTGCGCCAGCACATTATTGAAGAGGAAACGGGGCTACTCGGTGACTGTTAAGGCATAAACAAAGCAGTTCGGTTGCTTTCAGGCTGAAACGAGGTTGTCTAAGCAATGTCCGGCCTCCAACGGGACTGTTCGGACTAAAACGAATCACTTCGGGAGCTTTCCGGGATGAAACGGATCAGTTCGGGGCTGTTCGGACGTTTATCGGGCTGAAACGGAGCAGTTCGAGGCTGTCTAGACTGATACGTGGTCATTCAGGAGATGTCCGGGCCAAGCCGGGGCTGTTTTGGAGCTATTTGGGCCACGCCGGGGATGTTTTAGAGTTGTTCGGGCCGAGCCGGGGCTGTTTTGAAGCTGTTTGGGTTGAGCCGGGGCTGTTTTGGAGCTGTTTGGGCCACGCGAAGGATGTTTTAGAGCTGTTCGGGATGAGCCGGGGCTGTTTTGGAGCTGTTTGGGCTAAATCGAGACCGTTCGAGGGCTGTTTTGGAGCTGTTTGGGCTGAGTCGGGACTGTTTTGGAGCTGTTTGAGCCGAGCTGGGGCTGTTTTAGAGCTGTTCGGGATGAGCCGAGGCTGCTTTGGAGCTGTTTGGGCTAAACCGAGACCGTTCGAGGGCTGTTTTGGAGCTGTTTGGGCTGAGTCGGGGCTGTTTTGGAGCTGTTTGGGTCGAGCCGTTGCCATTCGAGGGTTGTTTTGTTGCTCCTTTTCTTTCTTCTTACCCCTTGATTAACCATGTTCCCTTTTTTTCTTCTACTGGGTATACATTACGTGGCCTGTTTTGCGGAAATCTTCCAAGCTTCGAGCAAATTTCTTTGAGGGAATTACTTGTAAGTCAATTCACCGAACTTATTCAATCTAAGCCACTTAGTTCTCTTTTTTTTTTTATTTTATATTCTTTTATTCTAATTTCAAATTTTATCTTCAACTGTTGTGATCGCAGCAAACAAGATGGTCTACTTTACGAGCACTTCCATCCGGGGAAAGAGATATTTAATAGTTCTCGACACCAAACACCAACCGTTAGAGAAAGGGACCCGCTTTGCAGTTGAAGAACCAATCACTGGTGACTTCTCGAAGACGTGGCCAAAAGTTACAGACTCCGTGACCGAGTGGACTCAAGAGTGTGCCTTCAGGAAGTCAAAAGAATGGATCTTACAAGCGACTCACCACAACCTACAGAATGAGACAGAGCCGTTGCCATTGCCGACTCTAGGACGACGTATCACACGAAGAGAAGCTGCATGGGGAGAAGCCATCAATTTTGCCGGTGAATTCCACTACACACGAGGGTACTGGGAGTGGACTGAAGATATACTTAGCCGATGCAGAAGCAACTTGATCAAGGTAGAGATTTATGATGTTGTTTACGCCTTGCTTTTCACCTACGACTGCAATCCCGAGATCATAAAGGCATTTTGCGAAGCGTGGTGTCCTTCTACCAACACACTTTTAACGTCTTCTAGGGAGCTTTCAATTTCGCTATGGGATCTTCATACATTGGCAGGACTTCCATTGAGTGGGTTCATTTTTGACGAGGTGGTGCCGGAGGCAGACGAGTTGATCGGGACCAACAAAGATAATAATTTATGCCTTCCTCGCTGCTGCAGATATCTCTTCCACGCATATCATCTATTGTGCAAAGAAACCGGCGATGGACAAGTGTCAGTTGATTGATGGGTGCATTTTTTGTCGAAGAAGACCATCAACTACAAACAACCTCCCAATCGTGCCGACAAGAGGAACGGAGAGAAGAAGAGGGTTATTCGCCTCAAGTTAACTCATAATCCGTCCGGCACTTTTGAAGAACATCGACGCTGGACCTCCGCCGAAGATCAATTGTACAAGAAGATGGTTGTGAGTGAGCTAAAGTTGCAAGAAGAAATTCACTTGGCGGCGTACCTCTCCTGTTGGATATGCGCGTTCGTCCTTCCCAACGACGACGTTGACATAATTCGCCCCGGCACCTTCAAGATGGCAAGCATGATGGCCAAGGGTTATATAGTCGGCCTTGCGGTTCCGGTCTTGACGAGTATCTACAAGGGGCTGAACGAGCTTACAAGCTGCAAAAGTCCATCTCGATCGACATTTCCCGTCCATTTTGTTTACAGCTGGCTGGCGCTCTACTTTAAAACTCACTTCGCAATTGGTCAAACGCACAAGCCCTTGATGGTGACATATTCCGGTGAGAATGGCGCAAGGCACTTTGACCCCGGAGAAGCCCGCAGACGTATTCACAAGGGGGACTTCGCTTCATGGACTTGCAATATCTTCATCAAAGACCAGACTTCCCGATACGTCGATAATCAACGAAGACCCAGATATGAATGAAGTACTTCATGGCAATTCGGTCCATCTACCTTACGTGGCGTCAAGGCGATCGCTTTTATATTGAGCCGTATAGTCCTCATCGATTCAGTCGCCAATTTGGGTTTTATCAAGATATTCCAGGTACTTCGAAGAAAGACTTCCGCGAGTGCTCTCTTGACGACGGAATTTACTATTGGCAACAGAGCGTTCTATGCGGATCTTCATCCAAAGCTTCATTGCCTTGCGTATCTCCGAATCCGAAGAAGTCAACACAAGCTTATAAGTCAGGTGGCAACAAGTTCACGGAGGCTATCTTGAGCGCCATATAGAGGATTTACTTGCATCAAAGCCGAACGTGATATCTTCGAAAGACAAGGAGCCAGTTGTTCATCAATGTGATTCTACAAGTGAAAATGATGACGTGCTTCTTGCCAGAATTCCTGAGACCAACAAGAGAAAGAGTAGGTCCACCTCTTTAGAAGAGAGCAGCAATGCAGATCAACATTGGAAGAGAGCAAAACAGCAGTCTGGTTCCCATCAGCATGTTGAGAAAGCGATAGAGAACCAATGCGAGACAGAGGACCTCATTGCTAAGGTTTTCTATCTCTTCTTCTTTACTTCTATCTCAAGTTCTCTTTCTAATTGATATATGTATTTCATTGTTGTTTTTAAGGTGCGACGGGATGTTTTTGGTTCTGATGATGACGAAGAGTCGCAAGATGATGAAGGGACTTCTGTAGCAAATGTTCTAACGTGTGCCAAAAAACCTACTACTGAACAAAAGCTTCATACTCCAGCCATTTCAGAGTTCAAAGGGGAGAAGTTCCTTCTTGACCGCCAAAAGAAGTATCTTCAAGGCATGTGGTACGACCTTCGTGACAAGGTCATGACGACTCCTATCGACTCATTGTCTTCCATAAAAGAAGACGTGTCACTTGTTTTTGATGCTATGAAGAGATGCGACAAGTTTAACTTTACCACCATCGAGAGCTCGTTGAAGGTCTTGTTTGACAACGCCGACTCTTATGACAGAGTACGGTCGAAATCTTCGGAGAAAGCAACGAAAGAACATATTGCTCGACAGTTGGCCGAAGCTAAAGACCGTCTTCGTGAAGATAAGGGGAAGGAGGATATTGAATCAAATCAAGCAAAGTCCACTCAGGCTGAGCTAAAGCGAGTCATGGAAGAGCTTGAGCAGTTGAAGGTGAAGGCAAAAACGTTATCCCAGACATTGAAGCAGCAACAAGAGTCACTCGATAGTGCCAAGGACAAGGTGAAATTAACTCAAGATGAGATCCTCGCCATCAGCAGTGCTCCACCGTTGGACGAAGAAGTGGCTGAACAGTTGAAGATGTTGAAGTCAAACTTGAGGGCGACTAAAGAGAAGCTAGGAAGCTTGAATCTTTTTGATTAGACATGTTTGCGACTCTTTCGTTCATTTCTTCATGTAATAAGACTCAAGGTTATGGGATGGAATGATTTGTTTCTTTTCACATCATGCAATCTCAAATGTTGCACTTCATTTCCTCACCAAATCAACCGAAATTGACTAACTTAAAAGACGAATATATCTTGTGACTGAACTTAGAAAATATCTAATCTGCCTACGTACCTTTAAAAGGATCAAGTCATAACGTAGTTCAAAGTGACATGAATATGAATTTGTTTATGGGGGGTGCCGTGCACAGTTTATACTCATGCGGGCCAGGAGTGACTATTCTTTAACTACTTTAGACAAAGTAGAGTATTATGTTTAACCACATAATACCTTAGTGAGAGAATTAACAGTTTAACCACATATATTCACATTGGTGGAGAATTTAGCAGTTTAATCACATGCAAAGCTTTTTGGTGATTACTGTTCACAGTTTATACTCATGCGGGTCAGGAGTTTTTTCTTTTTTCTTTTTTTTTAGCTCTTTTTTTATGCTTTTTTTTTCTTCTTTTTTTTTGGATTTTTTTTTTAAGGTACATGTAGGTACATCACACATAATAGCGTTTCAAAAACTTCCCGTTGATAGGACCAACTACCAAACCATCTTCGGCTACCACCTTGTAGGCGCCATTGGTATAGACATCCCTCACAACATAAGGACCATCCCACTTTGACGTGAACTTATTCCCAACACGATGTGTCATCACAATCAGTCTTCTCACAGCAAGAACCAAATCTCCCACTTGAAAGGAGCGCGATCGAACTTTCTTGTTAAATGCCTTAGAGAGACGTGCTTGGTAACATTCCAGTCGTTGTTGAGCTTCTAGTCTTTTCTCATCGAGAGCCTCCAACTCCTCAAGGCGAAGGCGCGCATTTTCTTCTTCTGTCAATCCTTCTTGCAATGCTATCCTCAGTGATGGAATTTGCTGCTCGAGGGGAACAACTGCTTCTACGCCATAGACAAGTGCATAAGGAGTGGCTTGAGTCGGCGTCCTAAAAGTGGTTCGGTATGCCCACAAGGCTTCTCCAACCCTCTCATGCCAATCTCGTTTCGATTTCGCAACTACTTTCTTCAACAAATTGCACAAAGTTTTATTGAATGCTTCAGCAAGTCCATTAGCCGCAGCATTATACATAGAGGACTTTCGTTGCTTGAAACCAAATTTTTCACAAAGCTTGTCAATATGGCTATTTGAAAACGGCTTTCCATTATCCGTTATTATATATCGAGGGATCCCATATCGATAGATAATATTAAGGCGGATGAAATCAGCGACATTTTCTTTCTTCACTTCTTTGAGAGGCACTGCTTCAGCCCACTTAGAGAAATAATCCGTTGCAGCCAAAATATATAGGTGACCACCAGAAGACTTTGTCATAGGTCCAACCACATCAAGACTCCACGCATCAAATGGGATGTAACGGCTCGGGTGATTGGTGAATGAAGTTTGCATGAAATTGACATGGCTGACATCTTTGGGCATAGTCCATACAATCTTTAACCATCTCGGCCAATAGTACCCCATTCTCTTGATCCGAAAATGTAGCTTCGGGCCTGATTGATGAGCACCACAAATTCCAGAATGAGCTTCCTCTATAGCTTGAATCGCTTCATCATCTCCCAAACATCTCAAAAAGACTCTATCAAAGGATCGTCGATAGAGAGTTCCTTTGTTATAGATAAAGCGAGGTGCTCGCCGCCGCACATCAACTCACTTTCGCAGATCGTCAGGTAACTTCTTATACTTCAAGTAGTCAACAAGAGGTTGACGCCAATCTTCCTTTTCAATCTCAAAAACTTCAACGGCGTGGTTTTCATCTTTCTCATCATCTGCTTCATCATCAAAGATTGGTGGCACTACCCAATTCCTACAGACATGAACATGATCCTTATCTTCAGGCAAGGTGAGCGACGAAGCAAGCTTTGCGAGTGCATCGGCTTGCTTGTTATCTTTTCTCGGTACATGATCAATGGTCACATCTCTAAGCCATCCTATAAGTCTCTTGGCGTAGTTCACATATGGAAGCAGCTCAGGTTTCTTCACCTCGTACTCTCCAAGTAATTGATTAACCACGAGTTTAGAGTCCCCATACACATTCAAACGCAATTGCTTCATATCAACTGCCATCTCCAACCCAAGTATAAGTGCTTGATACTCGACGACATTATTTGAGCAATTCTCGGTCAAAGTAAACGAGTAAGGCAAAACTTCTCCATGACATGTCACAAATACGACTCCAGCACCGGCCCCTTCTCGATGGGCCGCTCCATCAAAATACATCTTCCATGGCGGAGTTACTTCAATCACCAGTACATCTTCATCGGGTAACTCATCAGAAAGTTCCCACTCAGCAGGGATTGGATGATCAGCCAAGAAGTCTGCCAAGATTTGACGTTTTACAGCCTTTTGAGGGACATAAATGATCTCAAATTGTTGCAATTGAAGGTACCACCTTGCATGTCTATCCGAAAGTACCGGCCTCCTCATAACATACTTAAACGGGTTGGCTTTTGAGACGAGACGAACTGTATGAGCTTGAAAGTAATGCTTTAACTTTTGGATTGCAAAGATTAACGCAAGACATATCTTCTCGATGGGTGAGTATTTCAATTCGTTTGGCGTCATCATTCTACTAAGGTAATATAAAGCACTTTCTTTTCCATCATCATTTTCTTGAGCCAACAAAGCCCCAACGGAACGTTCTTGAGCGGCTATGTAAAGAATCAACGGACGACCGGGCACAGGGGCAACCAGCACGGGTGGCTTCATTAAATACGCCTTTATGCTTTCAAATGCATTCTTGCAAGACTTATCCCATTCAAATGGAACACCTTTCTTCATAAGACGGTTGAACGGTTGACAACGGCCGGCTAAATTCGATATGAATCTTCGAAGGTATGCCAATTTTCCTTGTAAGCTTTTGAGTTCATGAATATCACGAGGTTCAGGGATTCTCAATATAGCATCAATCTTTGCTTGCTCAATCTCTATCCCTCGATGACGGACAATAAACCCAAGAAATTTTCCAGACTTGACGCCAAACGCACACTTGAGGGGATTCATCTTAAGTTGATATCTCTTTAACCGTTCGAAAACCCTTTTCAAATCTTCAAGGTGATCTTCTCGCTTTCTTGACTTCACAACCACATCATCAACATAACATTCAATGCTTTTGTGAAGCATATCATCAAAAATCCTTTGCATAGCCCATTGATATGTGGCCCCAGCGTTTTTCAAACCAAATGGCATCACCTTGTAACAGTATATCCCTTTTGGCGTACGATATGCGGTCAATTCTTCGTCTCTAGGCGACATGCATATTTGGTTGTACCCGGACGACCCATCCATGAAATACAACGCATCGTGGCCCGTAGTTGCATCAATCGTGAGTTCAGTAATGGGCAATGGAAAATCGTCTTTTGGGCATGCTTCATTTAAATCTCGAAAGTCGACGCAAACTCTAACTTGACCATTCTTCTTTCTCACAGGAACAATATTTGAGATCCATGTCGGATACTTGACTTCTCGAATGAACCCAACCTCGATGAGCTTGTTTGCTTCAACTTCAATCAATGGAACCAAATCGGGCCGAAAGCGTCGTTGAGCTTGCTTAACAGGTCGTGCCCCCTTTCTCACGGACAAATTGTGCACTGCCACTTTCGGATCTAACCCAGGCATTTCTTTGTATGACCAAGCGAACACATCTTTATATTCACGAAGCAGCTCGATATAAGCCTCCTCCTCATCACTAGTCAAAAGGGCGCTGATATAAGTTGGCCGAGGATTTTCCATGTCTCCTAAGTTGATCTCTTTTAGCTCATTAACCGTAGCCTCAACTCCATCTTCAAGCTCAGCAGGGGCATCCTCAGCGTCTTCTTCATTTTCTTGGGTACATTCACATATGGTGATATGGTTTACATATGCTACATGTTCAGCAGGGCTATCAAGACTCTTGAAATCAACACATGTTCTAACTCGTCCGTCCCTTCTTACGACACGAGGCAAATGCAAAGTGGTATTGCTTTTATTAATGAACCCTTTCCTTACCAATGCAACGATTGTTCGACGCAAAGAGCTTCCGATGTTTCGAGGATTTGCTCTTGGGGCAACAGTACTCACTTGATTAGTCGAAGCGACGCTTTCTCCATCACTTTCTTCTTCACCCTTTACTCTCGTGTGCACAATTGTTTGCATCTTCGTCTGCAAGACATTACCACATGAAACAATCAATGTGGTATGTCTCTTCATTCGTGACGGTATCAAGTTTCGAAGCTCGTGGAACCTTCTCTCTATCTTCTCGTATCTTACCATCCTTCGAATACCAAGTCTTTGATGGATAGTTCTTTTGGACTCTAACTCTTGAATGGGTCCGAGCCGTTCAAATACCGATCTTCTTTCTCTATGCTTCAAATGATCAGTGGATGAAAATCCTTCTTCGGACACATGATTAGAATTGACTCGTTTTATGGCGATCTGAACTGGATTTGGTGCCGCAAATCCGAGACCAACTCTAGTTTTTGCCACTCCAGAATCCCTCTTTTGAGTTTTTGCTGCTTGCGGAATAAGTGTTCCCAAAGTACTCACTTCTTTTGGATCGTATCCAGATTTGACAAGAAGTTTATATGCTTTTGGGTCGTAATACTTAGAATTTTGAAGCTCCCCTCCGTGCTCCGTCTTAGCTCCTTCGATTGGGTGGACAAACTTTCCCAGGGATTGCGTGGTTGGTTTCTTGGCATTGAGACTAGGCAACGGCAACACCAGCCCATCAAGAGGATCGTTCCCAGCAAGATTCTTGGCTTTCTTCTCTTTGGCTCCATTTGGTTGTTTGATGGGAATGTCTTTAGTGCCAACAGCCTTAATCTCTTCAAAATAATACTTAGCATCAGCAAAATAAGACTCGGCTTCAGTAAAAGGCTTATCGTCTCCAAGAACCTTCCTTACTACACCATCTTGGCAGTATTTGAAACATTGATGCCAAGTAGAAGGCACCACTCCATACTCATGCAACCAAGGACGTCCCAATAACATGTTATAAGAGGTTTTGGCATCTATCACATGGAAAAGAGCATTTGAAGTCATCTCTCCGATTACTAACTTCAATCTAATTATGCCTAGAGCTCGTTGCCCCCCTTGGTTAAAGCCTTGAATCATCAATCGACTATTTGAGAGTTCATCCGTCGGGACCTCTAGCTCTTTTAAAGTACGCAGAGACAAAATGTTCACAGCAGAACCTCCATCTATCAATATGCGATTCACCTTTTTCTCGCGAGTGTAACCAGTTACGAATAAAGGCCTGTTATGGGGTTTTGAGCCCAACATCAAGTCTTCGTCTGTATAGGTGACTGCTGCATCATTGTCTTCGTGGTCACATTGCTCTTTTTCATCAGTTGACTCCTCATCACTTGGCACATCATCTTTCTCGCTCGTCACATTACAAGCGAAACTTGCATATCCTTCCTTGCAAGTCACAATTGAAGCAAAGTTCGCAGTCCCTTGTCTTCTTCAAGTGATATCTTGCCTTGTCGTGCTAGTTGCATAACTCTATCTTTGAAGACGAAACAATCTTCGATGGAGTGACTCATCAAACGATGATACTTGCAGTATTTTGGATTGTCAACTTGTCCTGCTTCTTCAGGTCATTTCATCTCCGGAAGCTCGATAAGTTGTTCCCGAATCAAGTCGTCGAAAATTTCAGAAACATCAGAGTCAAGAAAAGGATATTGTTTGGCTTGCATCTCCTTCAAGGTTAACTTTCTTTGCCCCCTTTCTTGAGGGACTTATTTCTTTTGCACAACTTTCTCGCTTGTGTTTCCCTTGAGTTTGATGGGTCTTGCATTGACCGTCATTGTTTCTTTTACCTCTTTGTTAGGCGCTCTAGATGAGAACTTTCCCCCTTTCTTGGCTTCATTCCGGTCCTTGAATCTTTGAGGCTCATGCACAGGTGGATTCTTGACCCCACTTGCAGGCATGCTTAACTCCATATCATGTGCACGAGTGGCTAGTTCTTCAAAGGACTTCGGTTGAATTCCTTGCAGAATGTATCGGAGACCCTAGTGCATCCCTTGAGTACACATTTTAATAGCCGAAGCTTCAGACAGTCGATCCTTGCAATTGAGACTTAGATTTCTCCATCGGTTGATGTAGTCAATAACAACCTCTTCATCCCACTGCTTTGTATGAGTGAGCTCAATCATGCTGACTGTCCTTCGTGTGATGTAGAAACGATTGAGAAACTCTTGCTCTAGTTGCTCCCAACTATCAATAGAATTCGCCTCCAAGTCGGTGTACCACTCGAACGCATTTCCCTTTAATGATCGAACAAACTGCTTCACCAGACGATCGCCATATGTTCCAGCATCGTTGCAAGTCTCAATGAAGGGCTATGTGCTGTTTCGGGCTACCTTTACCATCGAATTGTTGGAACTTCGGTGGTTGATATCCAGTAGGCATCTTCAAGCTATCAATCCTTTGGGTGTATGGCTTCGAATAAGTCAAAGATGACTTGGAGCCTCCATCAAACTTGTCCTTGATGGTTCCCATGATGAATTCTTTGAGTTGGTCAGTTGGTATGAGTCCACTTGAAGAAACATGGATTTCTGACGAAGACTTCTCCTTTTCAGTTTGTTTCACCTCATCTTCTTTAGAAGTTTCTTCTTCCTCATGTGTTTCACCTTGCTTGCCCCCAGCTCGGCTAGTCTCAGCTTTGTCGACCCTTTCTAGCAACTTTAAAATTGTGGAGTCTTGATTTTGGACATGTTTCATTAGTGACTCCATTGTTTTCGCCATGGTTGCAAGTTGCTCTTGAATGGTTGATGCGTTCGTCATCATAACATGTTCCTCTATTGAGAAAGGTGTCGATGAAGCATCGTCTCTCAAATCTTCCTCTTGGTTCAAAGGGTTCAAAAGCGGCCGATTTTTCTCAACTTGGTGAGAATTTCTTTCCAGAGATACACTCTTGTTTTTTGCCATGCTTCTTGTTACGATACCAACACTTTCACTTGCAGAACTTGAAGAAGTTGACTTGGGAGGAGTCATTATTGCACTTAGATATCTTGAAGAAAATAGATGAGAGGTAGAGATAGTCCCACCGGGCGTGCCAAAAATTTGTAACGCAAAATTTCGTATTATTGAATTAATGAACACGAGAAATTCGTACAAATGGATTTTAAACGGATCAAAAGAAATATAGTGGATTACAAATCTCTATTATTCCTCTGATTAATTTCTTCAAGAGCGGTCTTCAAATAGACTTGAGACTTTTGGAGACGAATCTTCACTTTGATCCCCGCCGGTCTTGAATATGGATTTAAATAACGTTTCTTCGAGGGCTTGACAGCTTGATCTCGAATCGAACGCCGTGATTTCCCAAGAACGTGAAGAACATGAGTCCTTGGTCTTCGCCGCAAAGTTGATTTTGATCTTCTTTACGTCGGTCTTCACTTTAGTAATGTAATTCGGAGGCTTGTCAGCTTGTTTCCGGATTAAACGTTGATTTCGGGCTTGAATGCGCTTGAATCTTCCTTCGGGTCTTCAAGAACGCCTTTGAATCTTCAAAACACTTTGAATTTAATAACGCAATTCGGAGGCTTGGCAACTTGTTTCCGGATTGAACGTCGGTTTTGGACTTGAACGTGCTTGAATCTTCCTTCGAATCTTCAAGAACGCCTTTGGATCTTCAAGAAAACTTGAACTTTAATAACGCAATTCGAAGGCTTGGCAGCTTGTTTCCGGATTGAACGTCGGTTTTGGGCTTGAACGTGCTTGAATCTTCCTTCGAATCTTCAAGAACGCCTTTGGATCTTCAAGAACACTTGAATCTTGTGGAGAGAATTTTGTAGAGCTCTTGGAACTTGAATTATGAATATGAATTGTGATTTTTCACCTTAAGGAGAGCCTCTATTTATACGTGTTGAGAGAGAGAGTCTTGGAAAAGAAGACTTCAATTTGATTGGTCCATGAATTTCCAACATTTATCTCTTAATAATTATTTAAAGAGATAATTAGGAGAGAGAGTCTTGGAAAAGAAGACTTCAATTTGATTGGTCCATGAATTTCCATTTATTTATCTCTTTAATAATTATTAAAAGAAATAAATATTTATCTTACTCTCCAAGAAAATGACATGTGGCATTCTTTAATTGGCCTTCAAAATATACACGTGGTATTCTTTAATTGGCCAACAATATATATTAAATAATCAATTAATTAACTATTTAATTTAGGAATTAAAATTTGATTAATTTCCCAAATAAAATAGAAAATTATTAAATTGACTATGACATGGAATTTGACACTTGTCGCCATTTTATTGGCTTAAAATTTGATTGTCTACAGAGAGATAGTATTTTGTAGGTTGATGAATTGTAATGTTGGATTGGATATATTTTGATGTTTGATGACTATAGTTTGTATTTGTAATTTAGATTGCCTTGCTTTAGATATTGAATTATTAATCTATTGTTTTAGTGAACTTTATTTAGTATTGTTTATGGTAAATTATACTTGAAATATTGATTTATCAACTCTTATTTAGAAAAATGCCATTATATGCTATAAAATTAATGATATATATATATATATATATAATTATATATTATACATATAAAATAAATAAATAAATTATATATTAGTTAAACCGGTTCAACCAGTTCGACCACTAGTCCGACCAGTGAACCATTGAACCAGTAGCTTCACCGGTTCGATGACCGATCCGGTTTTGAGAACATTGCTTTTCAAGCCAACCAGGTACCAAAAATCTTCCAAGCTATTTTTAAGAAGAAAAAAAAAATCACCAAATAAGAAAACAACATACATTACAGTTGCAAATATGGATGAATAAAGAGACTGCCCACAAAGAAAACATCGACACTCTTAAAGTTGTTGCAGCCGAAAAAAAAAATGCAACAAGAATGCAAATATGGATGAATAAAGAGACTGCCCACAAAGAAAACATCGACACTCTTAAAGTTGTTGCAGCCGAAAAAAAATGCAACAAGAAATTAAAACACAATAATAAAGGGAGTTCATGCACTAGATAAAGACTATTCGTTCCTATTTTTAAGAAAACGAATATACATGAAAAATATTTAATATATTATTCGTAAAAATTATATATCCTCATATAATATAAAAATATAAAGTAATCCCTATCATTACGCAAAGGGTCAACCCACTCAATCATAATAGTTTCATATGTAGGGAAAATAAGTTTACAAGAAAAAATAGACTAAAACTATATATATTAAAAACAAACTTGCATAAAATTTTCTTTATAATATTCATGTGTTAATGTTCACCAAAAAATTAAAAAATGCAAAAATAATATTATAATCAAATTAATTTGCATAACACACTTCGACTTCATTTTTTTTATTGCATCAGTTTTGTTATGGAGTCATCAGATGACTTGTGTTATGGAGTCATCCATAATTATTCACAAATGTTGTATTGACACAAGTCTTGCAATAAATACACATTGAACATGTAGCACTGTTCGATTCATAGAATTTCTCGGATTATTCTATTTATCGGTTTTATTTATATGATTTATTTTTCATTATATTGGTCGTGATATCGTCAATATTTGGTACTTAAATTATATATTTAAGTACTTGTTTGTTTAATTTTAAAACGTCATCGTCCGTCAGTTTCGGTTTAATCGCGTAAACCAAATTTAATCCGTTTGAATAATGAATTTTTCGAATATTTATTTAATTGACATTATTATTTTATGTCTTGATTAATTGCTTATGTTATATTATTTATTGAATAATATGATACTATTAGTTTGTCGATTTTATTTTATCGTGGTCGTCGATTCCGGTTTAATCGGGTAAACCGAATTTATATTCATTTTAATTAATTTCGCAACCAATCGAACTGGGACTTAAACCATTTTAAATGTCGACACTTTTAGGTGGCCTTTCGGCCCTAACTCGCGAGAAAACCCGGCCCTCGAGCCTTAGCCGAGCCCCCCGACCCTCTTTAATGCCTTGTATGGCAAGTTCTTGTGACCTAAGCTTATAAAAGCCTCCCAACCATCTCTCTCATTTTTGTTTTAATGATCAGCCTCCCAACTCTCTCTTTCACGTCAA